AAAAATTTATATATATATATATATATATATATATATATATATATATAGGGCAGGGGTTGGCAAACTTTTTCTTCAAGTGCCAGATTGTAAATCCTTGAGACTTACAGACCATATGGCCTCTGTCATGTACAACTGTGCTGTTGTAGTGCAAAAGCTACAACAGACAATATATAAACAAATGACATGGCTGTTTTCTAATAAAATTTTGTTTACAAAAATAGGTAGCCAACTGTGGGTCATAGTTTGCTAGCCCCTGATATAGAGCAGTTAAAAATCAAGTTTTTAAGGCAGTGCATAAATGCTTAAAATATTTTGAAAGCTTAAAACTACAGTTTATAGTTACCAAATTCTCCACAAATGGCAGGTTTTACTTAGTATTTAGGAGGGAAAATTCATCTTAAAAAAGAGGTTGAATTGGGTGAGTAATGTAGTCAGTTTTTCTGTTCTGTTTTTGGAAAAGTCAAGCGACCCTAGATGTACCTGAAATACTTCTGTAAAGCAAAATCCAAGGTCACCTCTGTGATCAGCAGTTATTCAGGCCATTAACATCTGCAGCTACAGCTTCATTTATAGCTTGGTCCAAAAATCTTCATAATGATGACCCTCTGTGTCATCAAAGAAGACTAAATTATGCATAGTATATTCTTTTAAATAACAAAAGTGATTTTATAATACTTTTAAAAAGCAATTAGAAGTTACCTTTAGCTAACTGTAAAAGTAATTTCACCTAGGACACCTCATCCCTCGATGATGTTACAGATGCTGCTACAGATGTGTTTAATTCCTTACAAGATGATCCAAGTGAAGTATCTTGGAGTTTATAGATTTTGAGATGAAAATTAAACATTACCATGACTTTAAAAAAATCTATTTGACTATTCATTTTGTGTACATGGATTGGCAGATATGCCTCATTAGTAAACAATATTTTTAAAATAATCATTTCTCTTTTAATGCTTAGACATAGGTAAATTGTGTTTTATTTTTTAGCTGAAAAAACAAGTCAGTGTTATAGTAATCTAGTAAAAATGAAACACTTGCAATTCTTTTTAGTGCCTATATACATACAAAAGTCCTAATTCACTGAAGTCAGTACAAGTGAGTGATTCCGGAGTAACAAGTTTGATGGAACAAAAATGATCATGTCAACCATAGTTTAAAAATGACATTACAGAAGCCTAAAAAAATGTAATGATGTCAAAACATTTATAATTATTATATAAAGTGTATCTTTAAATCACATGCTGTCTTTCCTGTTAATAGAATATTCACTAACCCCTCCTCTTGAGGTAAAATTCCTCAATTCCTATTAGTAAAAGAGATCAGTAGGTCCTCTTCTTTAGGTTAAGAGGTCCTCCATTCCATATGCATATAATCACTGTAGGAATAATAAATAAAACTGTAATTAGTACCATCAATGGAAGGGTTATTTGCAAAAACTGATATATTTTAAAAAGGGACATTCAGTATAAATGCTAGGAACTATAGATGTGGTAGAAAACACTAACTTCAGAATCAGATCAAATTATGTTCAAATCTTGGCTTTGTAACCTCAGACAAGTAATTGCCCAGATATCTTTTTACTTACAGCTAAAACAAGGTGACTCATATCTTGTCAGTTCCTTTTAAAAAATGTTTAGAATAGTTCTTTAAAAATTTATAGGATGAAAAAAATTACAATTTCCTCCCTAAAACATTGGAGAGATACAAAGGGGAAGAAATAACATAAATAAATATGGCATTCAGATTTTCAACGTAAATTAAAAGTGCATCCACAAAATGAATGTTTCTTAACTGCACATGTAATCAATCGTAATTCTGTTGTTAGGTAACAGGAGACTATAATATAGTAAGGCACCTTGGTAGTTAGTTCTTAGGCAAAGAGTCACTTGAGTGCATCACTGGCTTTCATAGTCAATCAAGAAAGTCTAACTGCTTGTTGTGTATTGGTTTGTTATGATTTCAAATCCACTTGTTTATGACTTAAGTGAAGTTGTTTCGATCTACAGGTAAATTTGTTTACACTAAGGAAGCTGTGCCAGGATGATGTCATCAACATCTGCTGTTGTTGATAAGTATTCAGCAGCTCAGCCATTAAGGGGTGCCGCTGGGGAGGATAATCAATACGAACATATGGAAGAGCAGCTATCAAGTGATGGACATTTAAACTTTAAATACCAAGAATTTGTGAGGACTTACCGAGAGTGTTTAGTCTGGGCAAGGCTACTCTTTTGCTGACTTACATAGCTCTGTGACGATCTTGAGACACTTGCTCCTGCCATGGCCAGGCCACTCTTGGTCCTCAGCAGTGTTAAACTGTGCAGCAGTCTCAGGAAGAGAAGGGACATCTGTTCCTGCCTTGGCAAGGCTACTCCTGGTAGGCAATGGTGTAAGTCATGTAATGGTCCCTGGAGTCATAACATTTGGAACAGCCCAGCTTGCTTACCGACACCGGTACTGTCACCCCCTAGCTACGTGCCCCAGCAGCAAGGGACCTACGCTGGCAGCTGATACCCAGCTTTTAGTTGGAAGGACTGACTCTACAGACAACCAATTCCTGGAAAGGTACACCTCAACTAAATTTGGACTTTCTTTCATCTCCTCTTTGCCTAGAACAATAGTGTAATCAATCTATTATTAGTTTGGAGTATGTTATTTCTTTATTAGCTAGTTAACAGACATTATCCTGTATGGTATCAGCTTGCAAAATGTTATTTTTATAAATTATAATTCTCACAGTGAACTGGTGTTAAATAAGTTACTGGCAAAGAAAATCTCACTCCCTGAGCATAATTTGCCTGGACAAAACAGCACTCTAAAGCAGGTGGTGGCAATCTACAGTCCACTGGCCAAATCCAACCAACATTCTGTTTTTGTAAATAAAGTTTTATTGGAACACAAACAGGCTACCATTTACATATTGTCTATAGGTGCTCTTAAGCTATAAGGAAGAGTTGGATAATTGTGACCACACAGTCCACAATTATTCACTATCTGGCTCTACAGAGAAAAAGTTTGCTGACCACTGTGCTAAAGCACTGCCACTCAAAGGTTTGGTTTGCATACCTGAATTGTCTGTTCCTGATCAGAAATGAGATAAGGAGATTATGTGAAAACAGAAACCAACTATGTTACCAAGTACAATGTTCACTTCAACTATTTTTTTGTTTTCATTGCTAGACTTTCTCAATGAAGGATTTATAGTCTGGTACAGGTTCCTTTTCTCACAGTGGATAGGTATAAACTATTCATTGATCAGGTACTTTCAGTACCACTACTGTAAGTATACAGGGGCAGGAGAAGGAACTACTCAAAGCTCACAAGGGACTATAGTGTCACTTAGAGACTTATTTTGGTACAGTGCTCTAGGTTTTTGAAGCATTAGGTGACAGCCTTGGCAACTAATTGAATGAGATTCAGAAAATGGTCCTTACACAGACTTTTTCTTCCCTTTACTCCAGAAGTCTTCTCTGCTATAGATTTATGTTTCAACAAGGTGAAGGATGACAGTTAATAAGTCCCTCTATCCCATCTTTTCTTGGGAGCAGGAAAGATAAAAATATTTGCCCCCACCCTCAAAAATATTCAAGAAAATAAGTCAATAAAATATTTTGTCTATTTAGCCTCTTTAATTTACTGAGCAGATAGAAAACTATAATATTAAATTATAATTCTCTTGAAGTAGAAGAATTTGTAAAGCAAATCAATTCTCTGTAATTATTAGCAGTTCTTCCCCCTGTACTTTAAGTCTCAATTTAAAATAAATCATGCATCAATTAAAGAATATGGAATAAAATCTACCACTAACTTTAACATGAAATTTCCTTGAGCAATATACAATTTCTAGAGGCGCCAAAGGTAATCCGACTCAAGCAGCTTTCTGAAAAATAAAATTATTCAGGGACAGATTTTTATTGCAAATATTTACTCAAAAACTACTATATACAGCAGAATTTTAATAGCCATTTTAAACATTTAACATTCAGTGAAACAAAATTTTAAGAATTCAAAGCACATTTTAAGAAGTAAAAATGTAGCATTTTAAATAAAAGTTTGTTAGTACGTCAAAGCAAACTACTGTTACTCATATTATTCATTTCTATATCTATTATTTTCTATATGATAAAAAACTGAAAAAATCAATTTAGCAGCCATCTTATGGATAAATTAGGCTAAATATCCCAAACCAATTTTTTACATCCTGCTTTAGGTCCCATTTGAATTTTCTATTTTACAATTACAGAAAAAGTCACTTAAACATGGCTGAATTCATGCCAGGACATGTTTTCAGTTTACTGCTTTACAATATCTACATTAATCCATACTTTGGTTTGGTTTCCAGACCATTTTTATGGGTCTATTTCTAAAGAAGATCATTAAAACAATATTAAGAGCATAATAGCTACAGGAGTTTCAACAGTGGGTTTCTACTTTATACAACTAGTACATCAAGGGATTTCTGCACAGCTTACACACTGACAAAAAGCACAAATATAAATTTTTATTTTAATAATTTCACTTTCACTGAAAGTTTAATTAAGGTAAGCTTACAGCCTGGCAGGCTAACACTTGTATGGAGGTACACAGATTCAAATATTCTGTTTACATGCTTCTGGCAGTCTGGAATGTAATATTATATCCAAAATTAAGTTTATGTTCATCCAAATTCTCATTAGATCAATGAATTTAGCATTCTAAACATGCTCCATTTACCAGTATCATACTCAAAATGAAACCTTCATTAACAAAGCCCAATTGGCCATTATTTTAAATCAATTATTCCCAAAAGGTATGTGGTTTCCAAATCTCTTCCTTTAAGTTAATTGAAAAGGATGTACAGGTAATAAGGACTTTTAGTTTAGAACTGATGGAAATTTCAAAAGCTTTATTAATATAAATAATATTCTAATATTCAATTCATATTGACCACCAGGTTCCATAACCTCGAAAACTGATAAATGAGACTTTTTCATTGCAAACTTAACTTTCATTAAAATCTTATTCATGTCTTAAAAACTTCTTGGAAATTCATACTAATCATGCTATTAATGATGAATTGATTTAATAACCGAGGTTGAATATACAGGTAAAGTGTATGAATGACCTCCCTCACATTTTTCTATCTCTGCACTCTGCAACAGCACCACTGAGCTCACCTGATAGCACTGTTCCAAATGCTCTTATCGTTGGTACACTAAAACTTAGAATGCCTAATTAATTTCAACTTCTTTCTTTTTCATCTGCCAGGTCTCCTGTTGTCTCTGTTGTGCTAAGGCTATTTTCTCCAGGAACGTCATCTGTTTGATCAGACACTACTTCATCAGTCTTGGCTGAAGGATCACCACTACCTTTCTGAAGAATCTCTGTGGCTTCAAACTCAAGCACTTCTGATGGAGTCAAAGGTTCCAAATGAATACTGCCTTGCTCACTAACATCAGAACTAACAGATTCAGGTTCATCTCTTTTTCTCAAAAACTGATCAATGCTAACATCACCAGATGTTAATTGCAAATCCTTAATATTCTTTGAAGAAAATCTAGCTTCACTGGCATTGCAATCTTCAATCTGATCACGTGCAATGAGGTTTTCTGAACTTTGGCACCTCTTCAACTCTGTTTCCTGACAAATGTGCTCTATTTGTTTTTCCTTTTCCACCTTATCTGCATCAATAATTGAATCATAACTGAAGATATTCTTTGAGCCAGTTTCCTGGTCTTCAAGACAGGTATCATTTTCTTTATCTGAACCTGATACACCTTCTTCACTTTTTGTTGTTGATGAGCCTTCGAATAAATGCACATCACATCCATTTTTTATTTCCTCTGAAGAAGCTTCATCTTGTTTACTGAAAAAATAAAGCTATTTATTATCTATTTCTTTATAATACAATGTATTTGAACACTATTAAAATAAAGACATTCTCTAAAAAAAAAAAAAAAAAGGCACACTTGCCCACCAAAAAAAAAAGAAAATTGAGCTCCCTGGTCTTTGCCATGATGTTACAATTTAGGATGTGGCCATGTTCTTGGGCAAAAGAGTGAGAAACTCCATAGTCGCATATTAAAAGGAGTCCTGAGGAGTCTATTCATTGTTTTAGTTCTGGTTATCATTATTTTTATCTGTTCATACCCTTGCTTATTTTTAGTTAAAATGTAAGTGTGCTTATTAATTCGTAAGAGTCATTTAAATAAGGAATGAATATATGTGGAAAAAACCCTATTTCTCTTTTATGATTTATATGTCCTCTTGGGCTTAGAGTGTTTTCCCTATGCAAAATCAACTAAGCATTCACAAACATTTTATTGATTTTTTAACAGCCTAATTTATAAAAACATAAACACATGCCTAAAAAAATATGTAAATATAAAACATGCATACATATATGCTTATGTGTATACCTGTCTATGTGTTTACTCTTACCCCGGTGTGTTAACAGAAACTATTTAGTGAATATAGTTCCCTATGCTATATAGTAGGACCTTGTTGTTTATCTATTTTATATATAGTAGGGTGTATATGTTAATCCCAAACTCCTAATTTATCCCTCCTCCACCCCCTTTCCCCTTTGGTAACCATAATGTTTGTCTTCTATGTCTGTGAGTCTTAGAAACACGAGATTTCTAAGAGGCTCTCCAGTCCCTTATGTAGATGTAACAATGCTTATTTTAATAAAAAGAAATTTTATGATTACATTTATATTAGGTCTTACATTAATCCACCTGGAATTTAGACTTTTTCCTAATGAACTGCCCAAATATCAAAGCAATGTTATCAGATAGTCATTTATTATTTACTAAATTATATTTAAAAGGCTGTTTCTCTGCTATTTATTTTGTTCTGATGTGTCTTTTGACTATTACAGGCCAATACCACACAGTTTTAACAATTAGAAATTAACATTGTACTTTATTATCTAATAGGTCAAATCACCTACATTCTACTACTCTTCTCCCTAATAGTTTGAAAAAGTAAAAGATAATTGTACAAGGATGCTCATTAAAACAATGTTTAAAATAGTGAATACAGAAACAACCTAATATCTAACACAGCTGTGATTTTTAAAATTATGGTATTAATAAGTAGAAAAATATGAATCTTACTTTAAACACCACTAGTTTCCAAATCAAATCCAATTTGGATTTTCAACTAAATGTTCATTAACCATAAACTAATTTGGGAAATGACCTATCATGTAAGTTACTAATATATTATTTTCTATCTCAGTAAGTTTTTTTCTTCAAAATCTTCTAAATAGATGCTGCACTTTACTCATCTTTTTATTACTGTGAATTTTATCCATTATATTTTGTAATCACATGTTATTGGTATGCCGGAAAGATTCTGAATTTTACACCAAGCTGCCTTAATTAATACCCTGATTAATTTCAATCATTCTTAGCTCATTTTCTTGGATCTTACAGGTCAATTACATCATCTGCAAAAAATTATATTTCCCTCATTTAAATTTATAAAATTCTTATTTTTGTTCAGATCTTATTAAACTAACTATAATTTACAGAAAATGTTAAAAAATATGGATGTGACTAGTCTGCTTTTTCTAAATCCTTATTTGAATTTTTGTTAACTTTTCCCAACCAAAATTCTAGGAAAAATGCTAGGTGAAGAAAGGGCTAGATAATTTTTCTTTTCTTTTCTTTTTTTATGTGGACTATTTTTAAAGTCTTTATTGAGTTTGTTACATTGCTTCTGTTCTATGTTTTGTTTTCTTGGCAGTGAGGCATGTAGGATCCTAGCTCCCCCACCAGGGATCAAACCCACACACCCCCACCCTGCGTTGGAAGGTGAAGTCTCAACCACTGGGCCATCAAGGAAGTCCCAGGGCTAGACAATTTTTCTAGTGAAGTCTAAGAAACATCTTCAAAAGGTCTTATTCCATAATTTTCTTTTTAGAGGCAATAGATTAATTAATCTCATCAGGTTAACAAGCAGCCTACTATAAAACACACAGCATAAAGATAGAAATGGGGAAAGTACTTAATCTAAAAGACAAAATCACCTTTAGCTGGAATAAAGTTCTAATTAGAATGTTAGATTTTCTTTTGCTAAAAAAAAATTGTGAAATCTCGTGTTCTGCAGTGTTCTACTCAAGCATTAAATTTTTATTTTTATTTTTTTAAAAGTTCTCTTTATTATCAATTAGAAGGCCTTTAGGATTCCCTGGCATGGTTTTTTTTTTAAAATTAATTAATTAATTAATTTTTGCTGTGTTGGGTCTTCGTTTCTGTGGGAGGGTTTTCTCTAATTGTGGCAAGCAGGGGCCACTCTTCATCGCGATGCGCGGGCCTCACACTATCGCAGCCTCTTTTGTTGCAGAGCACAGGCTCCAGACGCGCAAGCTCAGTAGTTGTGGTTCACGGGTCCAGTTGCTCCGCGGCATGTGGGATCTTCCCAGACCAGGGCTCGAACCCGTGTCCCCTGCATCGGCAGGCGGACTCTCAACCACTGCGCCATCAGGAAAGCCCAAGCATTAAATTTTTAAAAACCAATACTTGAATTTTGAACCTTTTATGTTGGGATCCCACCAAAGAAGTAGCTTTACAGCTTTTTGAAAATACTTCAAAAATAAGATATTAAAATTAACTATTTGCAAGAATCGTCACCACCTTATAACCTGTAGCATCTTGTAACTATTTTCATTTAATAGAGGCAATTAAAATCTGTTAACATTTTACTTACTTGTAAGTACTTTTAAAAAATTTAACAACTTATAAAATGTATTCTACATGTTTAAGATTTCAAAACTAAGGATCTGTAGTATATTTCTGTTACATTAATATTTCAAAATTTTATTTTAATTAAAAGCCATTACTAAAAGGAACACCATATACAAAATTTAAATAGCCTTTTGCCAATTAACTGAAATATAACACAGCTCAAGTATCATTTTATATACATGAATTTCATGAGATTCAGTTTTTCCTTATATTTACCTTTCAGAATTTGATGTTTCTGTTTCTCCTTCAGCCATATTAGGTCTTGCAAGTTCCTGAAATTATTAATAATAATTTTCTTTTATATTCAAAACTAAGCTTAAAGTAAACTACTTTTATTATACTAAACTTTCTAGATAAAAAGAACTTAAGTGTGCTACCTAGTATACTAAAGAAAGAGAAAAAAATTTTCTCAATTTAAAGTATGTATTAAAATAATTCTCATAACTAAAAGCATGATTTCAAAAATTGCTTTTTAAAAAACTTGTAAGAATTTCAGTGTACCAAAACCTTCTGAATCAAGGACATGAAACAGTTATCCAGTTATAACAATACCTGCTTTCCTTAGATTCTTTCAAATGTGGGCCATAATTATAATTACTTGAATAGAAAACTAGTAAAACACAGCTTGAATTTCAATGCATCATCCATAGTATTTTATACACACATTAAATACAGGTACTTAGATAAAACATTTATGAAATTATGATTTTATATTTGGAGCCATGGTAACCCTTCCATTGTCAAACCAAGTAATATTAAACAATAGATAAATGAAATATTTTTGCTTATTTGAAATGTTTTTTGGTGAGGAAAGAATACACAAAAACCTCAGTAAGCCAGAGGCCAGCCTAACAGTTTATAACAAATTATTGAGCATATATGATGCATGAGGTAGTATGTTAAGAACTTTACATTCACTATCTCATCACTTAATCCTCATATTAGATATTATAAACTCCATTTCTACAAATGAAAATAAAGACTGCGGGGGTTAAGTAGAAAACCAAAGGCAATACTACAGTAAGTGGTGAAGTTTCAAATCTAGGTCCAGTTCAGCCACAACAGTGATTGATTCAAATCTGTGAAAGTGATATGGTGTATTAATCACATACATGTAACATTTCCTCACTCTCCAAAAGCCCTGCTAAAATGAGGGCAAAGAAATAAAATATTTTCACTCATAAAGACCAAGAAAACATCAAAGCATACTAACTGTCAAAGAGATTTCAACAAATTTTTAGATGGATAGTGGCTGGAGGAATCGAAATTGACTTCACAGTGTGGAGGAAGTTACAACTAAATGTCTGAGCTGGGAGTGCAAGGAAAAGAGAATCAGTTTTCCCAGAGAACATAAGAGATCTGGTATTTGGAGAAATTCAGTATACTATCCAGTACATAAAAGGTAAAAATGAAGCATGAATACTGCTGAGAAATCTAAATGCTCTTTCCCCAACTCACACAACAGGTACCTATCCTTTCCTCTACCACTTAGGCCAAAGGTTAATTCTGTGAACTGGAGACAGTCTAGACTTGTGAACACCAGGAATGGCAAAGGGCAGGCATGAGGTACTGAAAGAAAACAGAAAAATTTAGTAGAGGTCCATAAACTGAAAAAAGGGACCCACATTTATCTCTCTGCCTGGCTCCCAGAATGCTAGCAGCCAGAGGAACCACTCTTCACTCCACCACCCGCAGCTGGAATCTAGAAGATTCCTCTTCGGAGAAAATTATCAGCCTCAAAGACTTTGAGAGCATCCTCCCTACCAAAGAATCAGTCAGCTCAGCAACTGATTTTCCTATGTTGAAGTCTAAACAATTACCATGCAGACTGTGCAGGCTGTATAGCACACCAATCCATGAGGCAACCTTCACAATATAATCCATGTCAGCAGTTCTCCAAGTGTGGTTCACAGACACCTGGGGCCTCCAAAACACTTTCAGGAGGCATGTGAGGCTAAAATTCTTGGTACTAAAGCAGTGGTGAGTAAAAATGCTGGCATCTTAACTCAAATCAAGGCACTGACATAGAACCAAAACTGTACTAGCAGTCACTGTATTCTCCACTGGCATACACCAGCAGTAAAATTAATTTTATTAAATACCAATCACTGAGTGCACGTCTTTTTAATATTCTGTGTAATGAAATACCAAATATGCACAAAGCACTGCTATTGCACACTAAAAACACTTGGGTCTGTGACTGAGTTGCACGCTGAACTTAGCCACATTTTTTTCATGGAACATGATTTTTATTTTAAAGAATGACTGTCAAACTATGAATATTTAGACTTGAGTATTTAGAAGACATTTTCTTTGAAACTGACAAAGTGAGCATGTCACATCAAAGAAAACAACTGACAGTATTTGTTGCCAGTAATAAAAATTCAAAGAAAAATTAAATTTTAGGATAACTTGTATCCACTATTCATGAGATTAATGCTAATATTAATGAATGTGATTACCTGATATTATATAATGAAACATGTCAACACTTAGAAGATCTATGTAACTTGTGAACCAATATATTCCAAATGACTAAATGCACATTGTTATAAAATCATGCATGGATAAAAGAGTCAATCAAAGTGTAAGCCAGACCAATAGATTTTAATGTAATAGAGCACAAAAAGTTCAGTGATATGGAGTCAGATTCCACATTGCAACAAACCTTTTAAGAAAAAGTTCACTTGTCTACTTTTGATGTCATAAAAAAGAATAATCACAATTATCTGAAGAGATTAAAGTACTAGATGAGGCTGGGTATTTTTCTTATATTTCAACCAAAATAACATATCACAACAGATTGAATGCAGAAACATGAGGATCCAGTTTCCTTCTATTTAACTAGACATTAAAGAGATATGCAAAAGCATAAAACAATTTCATTCTTCTAACTAAATTTCTTTTGTTTTGACAAATAGTTATTTTTCAGAAAAATATTTGCCATTTTAAGTAACAGTATTGTAAAAATTTCATACTTTTAATTTCTAGTACTGTAAACATCAATACATTTTGAGAGTACTAAGGGGTATATATAACAGGGTTGTACCCTGTGGAGTGCTGCAGTGCACAACCTGTATGGCTATGCAAGGCAGCCCTGTCCCTGTCCAAACACAGGGTTTTCGATAAACTTTTTAGCACTTCACTTTTATGAACAGCCAAGGATCACCACACAACTGAAGACATTCTTTACATCAGACAGATCAAAATAAACAAGAGAATAAAGAAAGAGGCTAGGAGACATCAGAGACTTTGCTGGGAACAAAATAAATATGTATAATATATTTAATATCCCTGGAGAGGTATGAAATGTTATGTCCATTAAACAAGAACAAAAAACTATGAAGACAAAACAACTGAAGAACAAATAAAAAGAACAATTCAAAACTAAATATATGGCAACTAAAATAAGCAATTAAATTTAGAAAATCTTTTTTGAAAGGTTGAATGAAAGGACAAAAAGATGGAAGGCAAGAAAGAAAATGCCATACAATCAAAAGAGTTGATGCAGGAAGTAGTGTCAGATCAATAGGAGTTTCAAAAAAAAGAGAGAACAGAGAAAATAAAAGTGAAAATTTACCAAAGAAATAAAACAAGAAAATTTCCCCCAAACAGAAATATCCAAAATTACAAAGGCTTATCAAATTCCTACCATAATGAATGAAAAAAGGATGATAGGTGAACATATGAAATTTCAAAACACCTGAGATAGAGATAATCATTAAAGTTGCCAGAAAGAACAAAATAACATAAACACAAAGAAAGTGGACCAAAAATGGCATCAGACTTAACGAAAACAATACTTTCAAATATGCATAGGAAAAATGTTTTCTATGTACTTCAGCCAAACTATCATTAGAGTAAATACAGTTTTAAATTTACACTAAGTGAAAAAAGAATCAACCTTTCTGTGGAAGTTGTTAGAGGACATGTTTCATCAAAATAAGGAGTAAAACAAGAAAAGAGGAACTCACAGTTCAGGAAACAGGATATCCAACACAAGAAAGTGGCAAAGTAAAATCCTGATACAACAAATTATGCATTAGGCTTAGACAGCAACTAGTTTAAACTAAAGTAGATTGGAGAGAAGATCTCCAGGCCCTCCAACAATTTTTTTTTTGATGTGTGAACATTTAGAAAAAATACTTCCAAACATTAGACAACACATCACAAATTTTAAAAAACCGCATTAGGTGCACAGAAGACTAAACAAATCAGTAAAAATATATTTTTACCCAGAAAAGTAAAATGAAGTATAGGAAAGAAAATCATAGTACACTTCCTGGCTCAGTATACATAATGGTCTCAAAAACTGTGATGTTAACTATGCTGACATCAGTGCTATGCCAAGCCATATAGAAACAAGAGATAAAATACACATAACATAAAATTTACCATCTTAACCATTTTTAAATGTATAGTTCACTGGTATTAAATACATTCACATTGTTATGCAATCATTACCACCATCCATCCCCATAACTTTTTTCATCTTGTAAAACTGGAACTCTACATCCATTAAACAATAGCTCCTTATTCTCCCCTCCCCACAGCCTCTGGCAACCACCACTATACTCTCTCTTTTATTTTGTTTAAGTACCTCATACAAATGAAATCACATAATATCTGTCTTCTTGTGACTGGCTTATTACACTAGCAAAATGTCCTCAAAGTTGATCCATATTGCAGAATCCCCTTCCTTCTTATGGCTGAATATTCCATGGTATGCATATACAACATTTTGCTTATTCTTTGATCTATTGATGGACACTTGGTTTACTTCCATGTTTTAGCTATTGTGAATAATGCTGCTATGAAAATAGGAGTACAAATATCTCTTCAACTCTTTGCTTTCAAGTCTTTGGGGTACAGTATACCCAAAAGAGGAATTGCTGGATCATATAATTTTTTTGAGGAACTGCCATACTGCTTTCCACAATGGCTGTACCATTTTACATTACCAGCAACAGTGTACAAAGCTTCAATTTCTCCACATCAGCATCAACACCTGTCTTCTGGTTTTGGAGTTTTTTGTGGTTTTGTGTGTGTGTGTGTTTTTATGTGTCTGTGGGTTTTTTGGTTTTTGTTTTAACAGTAGTCATCCTAATGGGTGTGAGGTGGTATCTCACTGATTTGCATTTCTCTAATGATTAGTGATGTTGCACATCTATGGGTTTATTGGCCATTTGTATATCTTCTTTGGAGAAATGCCTGTTCAAGTCATTTATGCATTTTTGAATTGGGTTGTTTATGTTGTTATTGAGTTTTATGA